GTACGTGTGTGTGTGTGTGTGTGTGTGTGTGTGTGTGTGTGTGTGTGTGTATGTGTGTGTGTGTGTGTGTGTGTGTGCATTTATTTGTGGATCTTCTGGATAGTATATTCTTACAGTGTTTAATATGTTAATATGTGTTAAATGTACACATCAATTTTGAAATCGTTATCGTTCATTAGAAATAAAATGAGTTTTTTTACAAAACGTTCAAACAATCTATTTTATTATTTTGGAAGATTTTCTCGAGTAAATAATAATTTTCTTAGATAAATAAGCTTTCTTTCATGAATATATGAATTTTCAAAATGATAATCTGCATGATATCAGAAAAGATAAATTAAAAATGTCCGTTTACAGTTAAAATTGATCATTTTTAGACTTCCTCCTTTTGAAAGCACCTACAAAATTATTATTGAAAATGAGATTGATAAATTATTGTCCGGTTTAGTTTCTACGCATCTTGATTTTATCGTAGATTGAACAACATAATGAAAGAACAATTTAATGACAGCCGCAACTCTTAACAACCATATTCTTGTACTTTTTAAGGATAACATTGCTCTCATCCAGGAAATATAATACGGATATAGCGGAAAGTTTGGTGGGCGCACAGCATGGTTTAGGTACCTTGCCTGGGCTCACCAGATGCACTAGAGTCTGGACTATCGCGTGGTTGGTTGCATTCATATGAGCGTTCAAGGGAAAGTTGCATTCCCCGCTGCAATAATACGCATCATACCCATCCGGCGCGATGATCCAATCCTGTACAACAAAATAAATTGTAAATAAAATGTATTCCAGGACCCCCTCATCGCATACATTTGGATTCGGGGAAAACATTTATACAATCTGTTTACGACATCGTAATCCAACACGATATGAGGAGGAAACTAGAGGAACTAGAAGCTTCAAGACACGCTGATTAATGGCTCTCACCTGCCACTGTAAATCACGAAAACTGACATACAATGTTTGGATTTTACAGGTTCGTGAGTAATATTGTGCTCCAGGATCTGTGAAAATATAACATCAATGTACATATATCTTTTTTATGAATTCTCTATCGATAATATAAAGAGAGGAAACAGAAGAGAATGAAGAAAAAAAAAAAGAAGAAAAAGAAGTTGTTTATATTTCATAACACACAATTATTGATACGTGATACATCAATTAAGTTGGAAATTGATAATATTCCATATATGTGAATTTACCAGTATAAGGATTACTCCGGTAATCCCAATTGGTAGTCTCGCTTTTCTTCTTCCTTCTGGCATCACGCTTCTGTCGGACTTTGGATTCTCTTACACCGGAGCTCTTAAAGTAACCTACCATGAAGGGTTGCTTGTCTGGATTACCCCGGACTACGATTCCAATATCTTCCGGTTTCACTTCATGCGCTATAATATATTAATTGAAAAATGAACAGATAAAAGTCACTAACTGACTGTCGCGACAGCAACAATAGCTTATTTTGCATTAGAAATATATTTTTAGAGAAAAAAGATAAAATAAAATAATAATAAGGAAAGAGGGGTTTTATATATATATATATATATATATATATATATATATATATATATATATAATAATAA